CACAGTAGGAAAACTTTGCTTTCATTTTAGTCGTGTACTTGGTAGCGTAGTTGATTGCGTCACTGTCAACCCAGCGCGCGCGTGGCGCTTAAACCATGCTTGCGTGATGCGCAGAACGTGTGCGCACTAACAAAAGTAGGCACCGTCCTTAAGGTGTGTTGCGTGAGTACCCTTGGAAAGGTCGCGAAGAGGAGCCAAAGGAAAATCTCGAAGAGAAGAGCCCACTAACTTTAGGATGTTTTACTACCAAATTGCAAAGCAAAGCATAGTAAATAGACGGAAATGGTAAAAAAGCCCGGTAAACATCAAAGAAGCAATCAGATTTATGTTGGCAGGTCCTTGACCCTGCACATCTCTTGTTTTATGCTTATTGACTACGCATGAATTACATAATCGCAATGCTTCTATTGGTTAGTTATGAGTATACATAACCACATTTTGCCTTTTGCCAGCTTTCGTGCAGGGTCAACGCCCGAAATGGCCAACAAAAAACATACAACAACACACTTTGCCAGGTTTCTTAACCATTTCCGTCCATTAACTAAGAGCAAAGCTTCCAATTTAGCTTTGTACTTTAGGAACATTTTTAGTTTGGGAACTTTTAAGTTTTCCATTGGGCTCTTAACGATCTCTGTACATTTCTCTCCGTTGTTTAGACATGGTTCCAAGGGAGGGGTCAAAAGTATTGGACCATGAGCAAGTTGGGCTTAGGTGGCCTCTTGGTGGCTCTGCTGGTGATCGTGATATGGTTCCCTCTTCTGTTTATGTCGTATATCAACTCTGTGTACACAAGCAACCTACCGCAGGACGCGACGTTCACGCTTTCCATTGGTGGATACCAGGTGCGTACAGCGCGAAAAAAAAAAAAGCGTTTTAGGGGAGCAGGGTTGGCGTAGTTTTGAGAGCGCTCGCCTCCCACTTGTGAGACCCGGGTTCGATTCCAGCCCGATGCCATATGTGGGTCGAGTTTGTTGTTGGTTCTCGCCTTTCTCCGATGCTTTTTCTCCGGGTTCTCTGATTTTCCTCCCTCCACAAAAACCAGCACTCCAAAGGCCTGCATGAAAACCAGCTAAGGCGGATGTGGCTTCCTCTCTAAATATTGCAATTTACCACAATTACGCGAAAAAATGTTATGCTACGTAAAGAATGCAAAAAATAAGTTGTCCGTCTTGTGAGCAGGGAGCGACGGCAATCCATAATCAGGTACAGAGGACTAAAGCTTCCTTCGTTGTATCAATACTGTTGTTGTTTCACGAATTCAATGGTTTGAACAGCTGCATTAATGGTGCTGCGTAAAACAAGCTGCTCCATCCGCGACAAATTTCCTTTCCTCTAATCCTAGTGTTAGTACATCCACACCTTATGGCTGCCGTCTTCGTCATTGGAAGAACTTTCTCTTGATTCTAGTAAAATCACGCAGCGAGTTTCCTTATTTAAGAACCCCTTTCAAACGTCTACTGTGGTAATATAACAAGATTTCGGTTCCTAGATTAACGGGCTTTGCACCGTGCTGTTAATTTTTATTTGTTGTGTAACCTTTTTTTTCTTCGTCAGCCACTTTTTAAAGTAAGTGCACAGGAGAAATCTTTAAACACACTGACGGATGAGGAGATCGACAAGATAAAGCAGGAGCGGCCAGGAGGATACTCTGAAACCCAGGTACTGTAGCCTTATCCAGACTGTACAAATTGTCATGGCAAAAATAAATATGACCTGATTTAAGTTCTTTGGTTCCACTGTTTAATTATCCAGACGGATCCAGACGTTGAGCTAAGGGGGGGCGGGGGGGGGTGTTTCACTTGCCCTGCCGGCTTTTCTTCCTTCTGTCATTTCTTCTTTTTTACCCAAAATAAGGGGGGGAGGGGCCCCTCCCCTAGATCCACCACTGAATAATATGTCAGACCAAACTATTTGCACCGCGTTGGAAGAATCCGTCGCACTCCTCACGACAACGTCGATTAAAAAATGATTTTATATTTTACCCACGAATTTCGCGGTACTCTAGAGTTATTTACTTTGTTTATCGCTGTCAAAACTATCACAAAACTGAATCAAGGGACACAGCGATAAATTTGAAAAAAAATTGAAAATTAGCCGCCGTGGTTCACGTTCTCCAGTCAACGCAGAATTTAGTCATTTCACGTTGTTGTTTTGTAGAGGACGGTAAAGAAATGTACCAAGAATTATAACGCACGTGCACACCCATTGTTCTGCTCATTAAACCGTGGTTTTCCTAGACTCCCTATTCTAGGGCAGTATTGGTGCGATTTGTGTTTTTGAAATAAACACGTGAAAGACAATACATCACTTGCGTTTCTTTACGAAATTTCTCCTGGAACACTAATAAGGATTGTTTTACTTTTGGTAAATTGTCAGGTTCTTTTCGCAATCTCGCACCGATAACAAAGGACTATCATTCTGCAAGCGAGCTCGACACCAGCCACCTTTCTCTATACGCGAAATCTTGTGAAGTTTCAAACGCCACAAGAAATCCTTAATTTAAATTGAACATGTATAGGAGCTACGATTGACCCATCATTGTTTCGTTGCGAATCCCATGCACCATGTAATGGTAGTTACAATTTACTTTTAATAATTTGAAGTGGTTTGGTGTTTACTGTAAGTGTCTCTCGTCGCAGGTGGAGTCATTCCTGCAGAACTTTAAAGGTCGAGGCACCGTGGTTCAAGTGAAGATTGTAGGTAACTCAAGTTCCATCTGGACCATCAGTCCTCCGTCCCGGGACCTGATGACCAAGTATCTTTCCGACAACAATGACAATGTTACAATGCGGTTCAGCTATGAGTTCACAAGGTGGGGGTTACACTCGACGTTTCTTCATATTTCAGTCTCCTTCGTGCGAATTCGCTCTCAGCCTCTCACCGTGTTGATGACGTTCTCATCCCTTTGTCATTTTAGTTGTCATTTAAGTATTCCTCCGCAACTGCAATTACTGTTCCTTCTTTTACTTCTTCACTGTGCGTTTCTTCTTTCTCCTTGTGGTCTCATACTTCTAACTCATGGTCCAGAAGTACCCTTCAGCTGACGTTTTCTTCCATATTTAGGGAACCTAAAACAGCACTTGCGCAGGAGACAATATCCGGTGTGACCCAGGTGACCCTCGACAATGCCACGAAAACTCAACTAGCTGACATGTTAGAAGGAAATTCTACCAGTGATGATGTGTATGTGATCTCATTGTAACTTATTTTCCAAGCTTGTGATTTCAGCTATGAAATAGCCGTGATGTGTCTCATCACCGAGCAATGTTAAAATGATACTATCAAGTAGTAACCCAGTTAGACAAATGTAATGTCTTATCCGTCATTTTAACATTGTTTCTTTCATTATACAGGGTCATTAAGGACTTGTTCCCAAGCTTCGTACGCGTCCCAGCCAGTGGCTCCGTTACACCGTTCCTGTCCATTGACAAATCCAACTACGTGACCTGTCGCCTGCGCATGCGTTCGAAGGGCGTCTTTGATTGGTGGGAGCTGACGCAGAAAAGTCCTGATCCACTGTTTGGCGCGAAGGAGAATGTGCTGGAAATGATAACGTTTAATGATCTAGTGCCACCTCTTCACTTCTCTTTCTTCACCAGTACTGGGTACCAAAAACATGATTAAATTTTAATCTTGCTCTTAATCAGCGCCACACGAAAGTACCGCTCAGAGGCTTTCATTTGAATGGTTTCACAGTAGGTTTTCATTCACAAAGTTAGGACCACCATGTACGGCATAGTAAGCAGTATTTCATGAAAGCACTGTTCAGTAGCTCTCATTGGAATGGTCACACACTAGGGCTTCCTCCACAAAGTTAGAACCACCTTTTACTTAACAAATAAAGAAGCCTAAGTCGTGTATTACTTAGCTCTTATTAACCGAGCAGGAGGTCTGTATGGGAGAATCTTGACCGAGGTCGGAAGTAGAGACCGAACGCAGTGAGGTCTGTGCACACGACCGAGGTCAAGATTCTCACATACAGACCGACTAAGCTCGGTTAATAAGATGTTTATTATGTGGCAAACAAGAACAATTTAATTCGGTTAATGTAACTGGTTTGTGCTAGCTGAAATTTTGCTTGCGAACGGCGATGAACTGAACTTAATTCTGCCAAAGTTTGCTCGTCCTGTTTACTTTTTTTCCTCATCAGGCTTGGCACTTCCATAATATGAATATTTTCTGGAACTAATATTTTGGAAGAAAATAGTCAATATTTTTGTATTTAGTTTGCAACTTTTTCAATCGGTCGAGATACCGGTCTGGAAGGGAAAATCTAGACCGCGGTCAATATCGATTTGAGCCAATCAAATTCGTGAATTCGGTAGTTCCCAGTCCTTGTGAGGCACAGCCATATAATTGACTGTGGTAAAACACGACGGGCATTTGAGAACAAGAGGGAAATGTAATACAAGGTTTAGGTTTCTTCATTTGCTTTATGATATAACCGTGGCTGACTTTCGTGTCGTGTTCTGTTTTAGAATAATTGGACTGTACGTGGGTTTCGTTTGGTTGGTCGGTAAGTTTGTCCGTCTGTTCTTCACTTCCATATCTTACCGTATCATGTTCGACGAGATGCCAAACGTCGACAAAGTACTCAAACTGTGTCTCGACATCTTCATGGTGCGAGAGAGCAAAGAGCTAGAGCTGGAAGAAGATCTATTTGCAAAGCTGATGTTCCTGTATCGCTCTCCTCAGACGCTGATTAAATGGACCAAGTATAAGCGACATTAGTTATAAAATGAGAGGGTTTTTTTGCTATTGGTGTTTTAAGTTAACTTGACAATGAAACCCGGTAAACGCGAGGACGCTAGATATAGCGTTTTTCAATTGTGGGCGGGATTACTTCAGTGAGGCACAAAGAATCTGCCTGCGTTGTAAGAGTTGTGTTTTGTCAAATGGTTCCGTTCTGATTAACCTATCTTTGACTTGCGATTCCTCCTAGTAGTTTCACGCCGTAGGAACACAGCATTCTTAACTCGGGTTTCATTGTAAAAAGTATCTGTCCTGTATAATTGGGAGCTTCAGCAATGACGACGCCGCGGACGACTTCTTGTAAAAAATGGATTTGTAGTTTACCTTGGAATTTTCTAATGGTGTAGATCTGTTCAGAACACCATTCGGTCTAAAAACGTGCTCAAACTAAATGTAATGCCAGCGATCAATTCCTAAAGGAAATACGAAAAATTAGCCATCGTGGCTCACGTTCTCCTAAATAAGCAGAATTCGGTCATTTTTTGTTGTTGTTGTTGTTGTTGTTGTTTTCAAAGGACGACTATGAAATGTACAAAGCTTTATAACGCACGTGCTTAGCTATTGTTTCGCTCATTAAACCTTTTGTTAGGTGTTGTTCTAGTTGTCGTTGCCGTCGTGGTTTGCTTAAAGCTCCTTGTTCCATATCCGGCGGCCTTAAGAAACAAGGCCGAGAGAAAACTGGTAAAGAATTGACTGACGTCGTCGTGCAGCTTACTCTTGTACAGGATGCTCGGGTGGACATTTTTACCAAACCGGTTTGAATTTATAGTGAGTTGTTTAGTGAAGGATCACTTCACCAAATGTAAAAGGCTGTACTAAAAAGATTGAAGGAATATTAGAACCAGAATGCAAAGGTATTTCCTTTCCTTAAGTCAGCCCGATTACTATGTTAGTACAATCGTAAAAACTAACTTGAGTACGTGTAAAAACCTGAAAAAAGAATTACTAGAATTAATAGATTATTTTCCACAAGGGAAATATTTTGAAAAAATAGTTATAATACAACCAAAACAATGGATATCGCTTTTAATTGGAAGCGTTCGTGTTGGAATCTGTTTGCTCTTACGCGAAATGTAAGTTTGTAGCCAATGGCGCTATTTAAGTTTCACTTTCATGGGGTATAAATGTTTGAAATAGTTTATTATTGAGAGGTATTTATTGTAATTTAGAGATTAATGCTTTCATTTCACCGAAATAGCGCCATTCATACAGATTTTGAACGAACTTTGTCATTCAGTAAGTTTTCTTTTTGTCCAAAAAAATCCATTTGCCGCAGCCAGGATGAATCATAGTTAAAACTTTAAAGAAACGCTCTGTGGTAACAAGATTTAAAAATACGAGCTTTCCACTTTCCTAACTTCAGTCTTGACGGGTAATACGCCAAGAATGCGGTGAATAAGAATCTAAAGTACAGTTATGATAAAAAGAATACAACAGAATATAGTTTTGGAAATAATTTTCAGGAATTTTGCCACAAATGCTGTATTTCCCTGGGAATGGGCAAGAATTATGTCCACATTCTGTTTGGCCATTGTTTGACTGATGCGATAATCGACTCCGTTTTTAATAATAGTATTTTCTTACTAGCGTAGGACCTCATCACCCTTTTATCAGGTCACAGGTCGCAGAGTCGAACGCTCGTATTTTTAAACACTGTTAGCCGAAAGCTTTTCCCTTAAGTTTGTCCTTATTTTTTTCTCGAGGATCGTATTCTCGCCTTTGTAATCGATGCTTCGTCAACTTGAAATATTTTGGATATACAGATTCAAAATAAGAACAGTTTTTGTATCAGCAGATATATTTTGTCCTCTAGTTTTAAAAGTAATTTTTTGAAATACGTGGCAGGCCGTTTGAATCTAGCTACAGTTGTTAAGTTTAAATCGCTTGAAAACTTTTTGAATAGCGTGCCTGGTAGTCGCATAAAATCCAGCTATTTTTGTACTCTATAAAAGACGTAGCATTTTCCAGGATAGCTGGTACATGGTCTTTGTGATGGAGGGAAATTACAAAGAGTATTTTTAATAAAACTTGCGCTGATTGATATTATTGGTTATTATGAAGTTGAAGTGGGTGGAGACGCGGAGGCCTCATGGTTAGTGCGCTCGCCTCCGTATCGAGCGGTCCTGGTTCGAGTCCTGGCCGGAGACACTGCGTTGTGTTCTTGGGCAAGACACTTTACTCTCAAAGTGCCTCTGTCCACCCAGGTGTATAAATGGGTGCTGGTGAATTTAATGCTGTGGGTGACACTGCGGTGGACTAGCATCCCAACCAGGGGGAAGTAGAAATATTCCTGGTCGCTTCATGCTACAGAAACCAGGATAAGCTCCGGCCTGATGGGCCACTCAGCTCGCATGATGACTTTACCGCTGAGGACATATTACGTTTAATGCTGCTGGAACGGGCAGCGGACCGCTTGAACGGGAGGTACTCCACAACGTCTAAGGATCCTTGGCCCTGTTTACGAGCAGGTAGCGTAGCCCTAGTGCAAGGCTTACTCTAGCAAGAGGGTCAAAGATAGCCCGCATTTACCTTATTGTTTTTCAGGTAGGGTTACCCTACTACCCCGGACAAACTCTGGCTGGTCCCACTTTAGTTAATCTGGGAAGTAACACATGCAACCTATAATTTTAATATCATTTCCGCAGAAGTCATTTCAATTTCTAAGCTCAATTAAAATCCCAGACGGTAATGCTTCTTTGGTTTGGGATACAATTGACGGCAAAACTACGCACAGTTCTACAATCGAATATTCTAGTGACAATAAAGACAAACATAAATGCTAAAATTTCGTCGCATAAAGCTGTTATTCGAATTTCTTTCTATCCAAAAATAAAACTGATTGTGAATTAATACAATCTTTCTTAAGCCACAACTCGTTCGTTTTGCCAGTATTTTTGTCATATTTTGTTTCTTGGACCCCGAATAAAGTTGTCGCTGGTAGGGTGGTTGTCCCTAGCAGAGCGTTCACAAGATACCCTGGCGCTAGGGTAACCCTTGTGTTCAGCTAGCGTTATCCTAGCGCTAGGGCTACCCTACCTGCCTTGTAAACACTTCCATGAAAAAGAGAAGCTAGGGTAACTCTCTTGCTAGGGTAAGCCTAATATTATGGTTACTCTACCTCCTTGAAAACAGGGCCTTATTAGAACGAAGGAAATAAACTACGTCGCAAATGACCAAAATATACATCGTCACAACAAAGCCATTTCAGGTGGCTCACCTTTGATGGACTAATACTAATATTTTTTTTCAGTCGATGCTGAAATAATGACATCAAGCCGATGCCCAAACATTGGTAAACAAGCTGTAGTGATCATATTCCGGCATTGCAAGTTACCATGGCAACGCTATAACCTGTTGAAAACACCCTTAATTTTATTTTTAGGTGCTCAAAAACCAAAACGAGATAACTGATGTCAAGATTCCGCTTTTTACAATTTTTAAAGCATTTGTATGGTACGGTGGTACCACCTTTAAAGTTCGAAATTAAAAGTGACTCAATCTGAATCCCTCACCTAGTTTTGTTTGGCAAAGAGTTGTGTTGCTGATTCACTGTCCTTTAGCATCCAGAAATTGGGCAAAATCCACGGACCTGAAAAAAAACATTGTCTTCCTGCTTACAAAAAAATCTTACTAGTTCATGAAAAATTAAGCGGAACTTCTCAACAGTTAAATCAGTTAGTATTTTCAGGAATCTTTCACACGGCGTGTAATTGTTTCTCGCTAGGTTGAGAGAAAAATTACTCCATGGAGAAAATATCCCAGTTCATAAATAATATTTCACGTTCTTCCGACGAAGACAACGCTGTTTGCAACGAATCATGACAAGTCTCAAACTACACACACTGAAGCAAAATTAGTGCTCCGTTGTCTTAATTAAGCCTCTGTAAATCATCTTCATAAACCGTTTCAAAAATATATTTTACTGATTTATTGACCGAAGGGACTATAGTCCAAATAAATTATGTTTTTCTTTTCTCTGCGTCTAGAACTAAGAGACTTTCTTAATAGAAAATATTTTTGAGAGGGGCAGTTTTGGCGACGCATTTTAAAGATTAATTCGCTTCTTTTCGGGTCGTAAAATTAGCTACGAAAATAGTGCTTTCTCTTTTATATGGAGAAAATTAAGCAAAATTTCATAACTTGCACGGCAGGTGGGAACCCTTAAGTTTCAAAGTATAAATAAATGACATTTCTATACGCTTGATACGTAAAATGAATTTTCCTTGCAATTTGTGAATTGACTTTTAAATCTTTTTAAAAGACGAGAAAGCTGTCTGATCGCACAAAAAGTAAGCGAGATGGCGCGTTATAAAGGATCTGACTCAATTCAGATCATTACAGCGTCTACAACCACATCTTTATACAGGGAATTGATAGCTCTGAGCGGTTTGTTTCACAAAACCCACAAACTGAAATGTGATTGGGCTCAATGCGAAATGTATTAACACAATATATCAATACGATCCAATCGCCTGCTATTGCAATTGTCTCTTTGTGTTCCAGAGTGCTATTTATCGCTTATTAGCGCTGTTTTCCCGCTAATTAGCCAAAGAAAGTTCGTGGAAACAAATAGTGTTTTCTTTTTTCGAAAAGATACAGTCGGGATAAGAGGATATTGTAGAGGCGAGCGAGTGTGAGCTTGGGCGACACGGCTCGTGAATTTGACGCCGTAATCAAACATGACTTCGTGTCGGGGGTTCTTGATTTGCGTCTTTTGGTTCTTCATAAACGCTTTGTTTTCTCAGGCTTCGGCTGTTGAAGTGAACATGGAAGGAACAGGCTACATTACATATGATCTTCGTTCCAATAGTATTGCCACGAAAACAAACCACATTACGTTTTCGTTCAAAACTTTCCGTCCCTCGGGCTTGATGGTTCACAGCAGCGGATCTCAGGGAGATTTCATCACGATAGAATTGATCCATGGACGACTAAGGTAAGGCTGAGATCATTCTAAATTACTCTTAGAAACCCAGAAAGAATCCATTATTTGATGGGGTAGCGAAAAACAACTATTCAATTCTCTAAGAGATATTTCACCGAAGTAATAAGCGATTTTCTTTCTACAACTACAAATAGATGCGGAGAGTAAACATTTAAAAATGTGTTTTCTGTGTTACTTCTTTTTCATTCTGGGTAAGTGAAAGCTGATTTTAAAAGTAGCTTCTAGTTTTAAGTTTAGCTTGTTGCCAACTTTCAACGCAAAGTTTGTCAAAAGTTTCTGGCGTTTGCGAAGGTAAACAAAGAAAGGGTCTATACTGACTGATCACGGATTAAATGCAATGAATGGAGGTGAAAATTGGATGAATAAAGAAGTGAGATGTTTTGAAATTGAACAAAGACAGTTGATCTATACCTCAGCTTCGCTTACAGGTATTAAAGAATTCTGGATAGCACATTGTTATCTGCACGAGTATAATGCAGTATCACTCACTTAATGACTGAGGCACGCGAATTGATTCTTATAGCACGGCTGACAATTAGTCAAAAGCAAGCATACACTTTCGCACCTACAACGCCTGAGCCAAGAATTCAACTTAACAAATGATCGCAAATAACCGCGCTTTCCTTCCCTAAAAGCTTCATCCACAGCTGTCTAGCCGCCTTTGTTAGGTATCGATGCTGGGCAGAGACCTATTGTTGAATTAAACATGGGTGAATGCAAAACAAACCCGAAAATTGTCTAGTTTCTCTTCCCTAAAATTTTATTTTCATTCGATAACAATGTTTAGCTGTTATAAGAACTTTACGGTTACATAGTGCGTTTACTCAAGAAAAAATGTTTTTCTTCTAAAGAAGTACTTCCTCCAAGTGACAAATGAATAACATTTTAAACTAAGTCTCTGTTGCAATTTGGAAGTTTTAGCTCGAAAAAAAACGCCCTCGTTTTTAAGCTTTTGTTTCTTAACCAATGGGAGAGTTTTAAGGTGGAGTTTTCTTTCAATGTAAATAGCGTCTCTTTATTGTCAAATTCCTCCTCAAGAGAATAGTTTACAAAATCCAAATTTTTCTTTATGTTTGTATATCAAGGAAAACAATGCACAGTTCTTTGTAACGTTTTCCTTCTACACCTGTCGCGGGACAGAAGGAATTGAGAAAGCTATGAAAACCTCGTGAGATAAATGTTATCTTTTGGATCTAGTTCTTCTCCTTAGATTATGTCTAGAGTGAAACTAAAACGCATGAATAATTATTACCACAGAGTATCTTACACATGGCTCATTATTATTAACAGAAGCTTCTGTTATTAATAATATCAATCAACAAATTTTCAGAGAAACTGAGCTTTGATTGTTTGGGATTTTTTTGCATGCAAAGATACATAAAACGTCGTTGTGAAAAAAAAGGAACTTTTCTTATTTCTCGTGAATGCCACTGTATTTCATATTGCTACAAGTGACTCGGAGCCAATTCGTTTTGGCTATGGAATATATTTCAAGACCGTGCGATTATTCAGTTTTATGGACTTATAGTTAAGTTGTTGTAACTTTCTAGATAGTTATCTGGCTCAGTCTCGCAGCGTACTTTTATTCAGTGTTAAGTGGCATATATTTTATTCAAGATACTGATAAAAAAAATTCTATAACCTTAACGGATCAATAACAAGTCTCGTCACTGTAACAATAGATTGTTAACCAGACGGGTAACAAGAATGCAGAAAATAATCAGTTGGTATTACGTACCGTAATCCACCGACACAGATCTCAGATCTCATTGAAAGAAATTTTCAACAATTGCTTATTTGACCTTGAAATAAGCTTGCGTGCGTAATTACCGTAAATAAATCTCAGTCGTGCAAACTTGATAAGTAGTCCCCTCTGTAACATTGGTCGGCAATAACTTCAATGTAAGACTGGTCAATATTTTAGTTCATGGTCAACACAGAACTTATCAACTTGATGGTATAATAAGCGGTATGTGCCTGTTGTCTTTATTTTGTGTCCACTTATTTAGTCTGGAACAAGAGTTTAATTACTTCGCCAGTGGTACGTGCTCGTCTATACAAGTTATTTATTGTTGGGGAAAAAGAAATGCTTGAAAACAAAACTCTACTTGAAGTTTACCTCCCCTCGGCTGTTCACGCAATATTTCTAGTTGTTTTAGTCAGTATATGTTATGTACGCACAGAATGAGAGAAGATTTAGTCGTAATTTAAAGCGCTGCTATGTTAGTTCAAGTCTACTTTTCACGTTTTTCAGAGACACAAGTCTAAATACCGTTAGGACAAACGAAACATGGGTTACTGCGGAATTTTGAGGACGTCTGGTTTGTGCCTTAGCGGTTTAGCGGCAATTTGTCCCTCATAAAAACACGATTTAACTGTAATTTACAAACTTAAAGTAATTATCACCTGGCTTGTAAACAACCGCTTACACAGTGTATTCCGCTTACGCATAATTATTACTGAGGACTGTTATTTTATTTTCTCCAATAACTGTTAAAAAATCTTGTCGAGGCTTAATAAGAAATGAAGAAATTTGCCAGCAGTTCAAACTGACATGAGATTGACAAGAGAATCATTTCTCTCGTTACAAACCAACAATATCCTGTTGATGTTTTTCAATGTCACCTGCGATCGTAACCGAAGTGCAGTGTCCACGGTTCCTGGAGCTGTTTTGAAATGTAAATTAATTTAAAATTTGCATGCCCATAATTAACTGCTATCAAAGTATGTAAGCGATATTTTGTAATAGCGGTCTCTCTTACCTCTGCTTCGTGGAAAAGGCCAAAAAAAAGGAACTGACTTCCGCTGTTTTTTTTGTTTTTTGTTTTTTGTTTTTTGTTTTTTNCTGTTGATGTTTTTCAATGTCACCTGCGATCGTAACCGAAGTGCAGTGTCCACAGTTCCTGGAGCTGTTTTGAAATGTAAATTAATTTAAAATTTGCATGCCCATAATTAACTGCTATCAAAGCATGTAAGCGATATTTTGTAATAGCGGTCTCTCTTACCTCTGCTTCGTGGAAAAGGCCAAAAAAGGAACTGACTTCCGCTGTTTTTTTTTTGTTTTTTGTTTTTTGTTTTTTTTTGAGAGACTTCGTTTAGTGCAAAACTTTGTTGGTTGGACTTTTGTATTCAACTCACTTGTATCCGTGAGCTGAAAAGTCTTTTCATTAACATCTAAGCTCACGCAGATGGCTAATCAGAAATCTCTGGCATTAAAATCAGTGAATTCTGGAGTTTTGAAACCCATGTTAAGTTAAGTTAATCCTAAGCTAGCATTTATTGTTTTTTCGCTGCCCGGAGCGTCAATGTGGCGGCATATTTACAATTTCTTTCTCCGGAAAAAAGTTTTTTTGTAATTTTTTAGGTTTACCATCAATCTTGGCAGTTCCAAAACCATTTCTGGGAAACACACCGTGCTCCTCGGAAGCAACTTGTCAGACAACAAATGGCATGAGGTGAAAGTGGATCGAAATCAGCACACGCTGGTAGTCACTGTCGATAAACTCAGGAGTCAATCCACCACACCGGGCTCTTTCGTCCGGCTTAACCTTGATAGATTCGTCTACGTTGGAGGTCTGGATCCGAGCGTGTCTGGCGGTGTTCCGTCTACACGGAATTTTTATGGCTGCTTGAAAAATCTGTACTTCGACTTCATCGACATCTTCTATGGTGCTAAGATGGACAATAATGATTATGACACTCACGGTTTTGTTCGTTTTTACTGTCCAGATACTAGCTATGTTCCGGTCAATTTTCCAGAGCCCGATACTCATTTGAAGCTTAGCAAGCATTCCCCTAAAAATTTCTCCGTGGAGCTCAGTTTTCGCACCTACGACGGCAATGGTATTTTGGTTTACAAACAGAGCGCGCGCGCTCGCCTGTATCTTTCTCTGGTATCTGGAAAACTTGAGCTTGAAGTTCGGGTGGAACCCGATAAACCAATTAAAATCAGCGTCGGTGAAGCCTTGAACGATGGCATGTGGCATGACGTCATAGCTGGAGTAACTCGCAAGGACATGTGGTTGCAGCTAGATAGAAAGCCAGAACTACGTCATGAAAACCCGTGGTTGGCAGATATCGGCGATTTTCGAAGTCGTGTTTACATTGGCTACGGAACACAGAAGACAGGATTTGTTGGCTGTATGCACCGAATAAAGCTTAACGGGAATTTGGTGAGGCTGACAGGTTTGAGCGGCTCTCGGATAAGCGGAGCGGTCATAAACCGATGTGAAATTACCAACAAGTGTTTCCCTAATCCCTGTCGGAACGGCGGCCGCTGCCTCCAGACATGGCAGGCTTTTCGATGTGACTGCGGAGGAACGTTTTACCATGGGGACCGGTGCAGCATCCCTCTTTACCGAGCCACATGCCAGGAGTACAAGGCACTGGGAATGGTTCAGGACGCGTATTGCAAAGTGGACCCTGATGGAACCGGGCCTCTGGGGACCTTTGATGTGCTGTGCAACATGACGGCCTCCGATGCTGCCAAGACAGTTATTAATCACGACAAAGAAGGCAAGCATCAGGTTACTTTGGGCGCCACGGATCTTGTGAGTCATTACTTCCAACGTATTTCGTACGTGAGTAACCTGGCCAGTATCCGAGCACTGATTCAGCGCAGCGCAAACTGTCGCCAATTCATCAGGTACGACTGTTATAATTCCAAACTATTGAATTCTCCCATTGGTCCTGAGCATGTGCAGTGGTTGTCAAGCACCGCTGTCCCACAGAACTACTGGGGAGGTGCTCCAGCTGGAAGTAACAAGTGCGCATGTGGAGTAAAAAAGACCTGTGTGGATCCCTCAAAGTACTGTAATTGTGATGCAGATAGCGACGACAAGTGGAGGGAGGATTCGGGTGAGTTAAAATGCTTCTCTAGAAGTTATCCTCCTGTTTTTAAAAGCAGTAGTTCTAGACTGTCACGTCACGCTTTCCCATTGAGTGTTGTGTGACTTCTGTATGACGTTGTGCTTATTACAAGGCAGGCATCATCTGGACCTTTGGTTATCGATTTAAACTTTTATACTTGGCTCTCTTGTATCTGTAAATTATAAGTCTTTGTAGCGTAGAAGGAAAAGGAGAGGAAAACCACTTTTTTTCCTCTTTGGAGCACTGTAAATAGTTTGTAAGACCAGCACCCCCTGAAATTCCAAAAACTAATCCCTCCCTCACTTCCTTCCCGCCTTTTTTCATGTCCCCCTTCCACGTTTCTTAGTACCGCCTACCGTACACTGTTTACTCTAAACTTCGATCTTCCACAGATAATGAGTTAGGTGAATTTCACATAATCATTCATCCTTCAGCTTATGATTCACAACAGTTTGATGTGCCGTTGTTGATTCATATTTCACTGTTATCCCTCCTTGACAGGTTATTTAACAGACAAATCTTCTTTACCAGTAAACATGCTGCAGTTCTCCTCGGATGCCAAAGATTCATTCTTCACTCTCGGCCCATTAGAATGCTTCGGTTCCTCGGGCCAGTCCTCTGGACAAGTAAGCAATGCGAATTTTAT